TTGCCACAGTTGTCAAGTTCAAGTGCTTTGAAACGCTTGCAGTGTATTAGCTAGTAACCTACTTATGTATTGTAGGCCCTAACCTTAAAATGATGCTGTGGTGTTACTGTTAATATTTTTTTGCAATTAACCCCTAACTTTAAAGTGATGATGTGGTGTTATTGTTAACCTTTTTTGCAATGCAACAGTTTTGGGCGAGTGCTGCTTTTTTTAGCAGGAGGGGCAGTAATAAACACGCGAGGGACTTGAGAGGTGAAGGACAGACCAAAGCTCCAAAATCATCTCTTGTGCACAAGAAACTTAAAAGGAAACCTCTCTAGGTCTAGGTGCAGACCACTGAAGGCATCCCTGCCGTTTCCAGATGTTCAGATGTACAGCGGTTCTTGCATGAGAAACGGATAAGCAGACACATCTGTGGCTCTGACCTTGGCCTGGGAAGACCTGCAGCCTGGAAGGAGCCGCGTTCCTGTTGTAACTCCGATTTGCTCTGGCGCATGGATGTGATCAAGCCCCGTTTCTGTAAATATGTGTATGATGCCTGAAAGTCGGTGGCCTGATTTCTCTGCCCTGTCTGTGCACCTGCTGCTTCCTTCGGAAGCCAATTTGCGGGTGTAGGTTCTCGGTATTCTTAAAATTTGCCCGTATGTCCTGCTGGTGGACTTGGATCTTGTATTTCTAGAGCTGTTTGTGTAAGAGGAGTGTGTCAAGAGGCTGCTATTCTTTGTGCTCTTTGTCCCGTTCTGCTTCCCTCATCCTCCTGTTTTACTGAGTGTTTCGCAGTCCCCTTCTCTACACGCAAAACTGGGAGTGCTGAAGCCAATTAGCAGCGGAAGGCATAATAAATGCAGAGAAATGCAGGTTAGGGTGGCATTTTTTCACACCTTTTCTGATTTAACTGTGGAATGACTACCTGAGGGAAGCTAGACATTCTTGATTATATTGTGCCTTTCTGGACTACGTCTTGGGCACAGCCAAAACCTGGGCTCAGCAAACCAGTTTAGAAGAAATATTGTGGTCTGTTTTAACTGAGGCAATCAGACCAGGTGACATATTAGTTGTTTAGAAAGTAAAGCTTTGCACACTCTCTCAAATGCATGCGGATCATCAAATTTTGCTTCTCTGACGGCAAAGTCGCTTACTGTAGATTGCTGTGTAAAAATTGCTGTATGTACCCTGATTAAATCAATACTTGTTTTCTCTGGAGAGAAGCATGCTGCTTTTACTAGTAGCAAAATTGTCATGCTTTAATCTGCAGTCAGTGGGAGTTTAATAATAAAGTAACCAAATTGGTAGGTGTATTTGCAGACAAAATAAGTTAAATGACTTTGCACAGCTTCCATGTGGGGTGTCGTCGCTGAAGTTTGCAGGAGTTAAAGGTAAGAGAGAGAAGGACACGAGGATGTAATTTTCCTACAGCTTGTATCAGTACTGTGACAACTCCACAAATGTTGCGGGCATCCTCTTCCCTGGATGCGGCTCCTTCTGATGCGTTCGACTTTCGCTGTTCCATTTGGAAGATGGTCTGGGCTGTATTTCTGTCAGGTCTCTGTGTGTTGATGTTGCAGTCCTGTATCAGAAAGCATTAACTTACTTAATTTTGTTGTCATTGTTGTTAGAATCTAAATTTTTCTTTCCTTTGAGCTTTCAGGATGGTTTAGCTATCTTCTCCATTGCATAGACTGTAGTTTTCTTTGCCAGTTGGCCCTCGTCGCTTGTAAGTGAAATAGCACGGTGTACATATTCTACGAGGGTGCTCTAGGAGTGACTTTGTTCATCAGCACAGGATGCGGACGAGAGGAAAGGGACCTTGCCCAAAACTTTGCTAATGAGACATCAGCAGTTGGCCTGAAGAGGTACTGTCCCACTTCAGCTGAAGCAAAGATTTAGAAGGAGGAGCAATTTAGCAATTGAAGGACCTTCAATCTGATCTTTTTTTAAAAAAAACTTTTAATTGATCTATTTTTTTCTGCTCAGCTTATGTTTCTGCTGAGTGTAGTACTGTAAACAGAGCTGCAGTATCCTGCTGGCCTCCAGGCGGGAGGAGCGGTGGGAAGGGGACTCAGCCCCTGGAGAGGGGGAGTCTTCTCATGGATCCCTTCTTGCTTTCTCTTTTTTTGGGGGGGGAATAAAAGTCTTGTTTTGATGATAACTGGGACTCTGTAAATTAAAAAAAAAAAAAAAAGAAAAAAAGAAAAAATTGTTTGTTTTTTTTTGTTTAATATTTTCTCTAGATTTTATCTGTGGTCCATGGAAATATTGTAAAGAAATTAAAAATGTCCAAACCTGATCTCCCCAATGACTTTTAAAAAGCATAATGTGTTAAGAAAGTAGGGACTGGGGTAGCGGTTATGGGTCTCATTTCTTTCTGGCTCTGTTGTGGGTTGTGGCGGGGGGGAGGGGAGGGAATCAGTAGAGTTCTGTTTTGCTTTTTTTCGACATAGACATCCTTTGCGCTAAAGATATCACAGCGGGATGTGCAGATTCGTTCTCCAGAAATGAGACAAATGTGGCTAGGGTAGAACAATAAGGCTACCGCTGTGGGTTTAGGAGTTCTTTAAAATGACTTGTAATTTGAGATCCTCAACTTGAAGCAGCTTAAGGGAGAGAGCCCGGGTTATTTTTGTGTCTGAATTTGAGCACTATGAAGAAATGAGGCCCTGCAGAACTACAGGGGTTTTAAAAACCCTTTCTGCAGGAGTGAGCAGCATCTGTATGGCTTGCTGTATCCCAGGGTCATGTCCCATTTTTCCAAATTTGAATATCTGTTTTGGAGCTTGGTTATAGTTTTTAAGACTTAATTGAAGTCTTGACACTTTATTTTCTTCTTTTCTTTTCTTCTTCTTTCAGTTGCAACTTCTCTCAGGCTGCTGCCTGATAGTTTTCCCCCTAAAAGTCACTGGGGCTTCCTTGGAAAACCTCGTCTAGTTCCTATGGCAAACCATGATGTGTAAAACTAAGGGGTTCGCACGCTAAGAGAGATTTTTGTTCAACAGCTCTGGTGCTGACAGGCGTGTTATTTGCGTGTGCAACTCTTCTGTGGTTGTTTTGGAAGATGGGCCGTAATGGGCGCCATAAAAGCAGTTTGATAACAAATGGGGAGGGTTATGCTTTGAACATAGAAGTGTTGTCTGGTCACTTGCTCTTTTTCAATTTTTTCGTAGTAAAGTTAAATCTCAGTTTTGGTAAAAGCTGCAGTGGGCCTCTTGGTTGTGGTGTTTGACATGGTGACAGCTTGTAAGCACCAGTTGTTGCAAGACTGGGGTTGTCGAATGCAACCTATTTTAACACTAAACTTTGCCCAAGTGTGGCTGTCTTGCTTGTCACGTTTTGTGTGATGGGGAGGAATTCATTTAGGTGCCACATAACCGGTAGTAATAATTATGTACAAACATGTCAAATGTAATTACGTATGTATTGTTGATCTGGTGGTTTCCGGCAGCTTGGAAAGAACGGGGTTCACCAAAGGGCTCAGGCTTTTGAAATGAGAATTCTTTGGGATGTGACTAGCTTTTTACGGTGTGCAACTACAGCTTTTGGCATAGGGGGACTTCTGAAGGCTACGACAGCACCGGATCATAACTTACTATTGAGCTGATTCTTCAGAAATCCTTAAGCATAAAAGAAATATGTGCTGTAATGGATGGTAACGGAGAGCAAATGAAGTGCTGTTGGGTTGTAGCATCGACAATGTCGTCGTGTTTTCCTTTTTACCGTTGTGCAGCGCTCCTTGGCTGCTTGGATCCGTGTGACTCTTTGTTCTGATTCATTCTGTCTGATCTCTGGGAGCCAGGTGTGAAACTTTGATGCCTATACACCTCCATCCTCACTCAGCTTCCTACTTCTGTCCAGGACTACAAATGTAAAATCCATATATTTTGATGCATTGTTAAAAGAGTTGAAAGGCTTTCATCCTAAACAAGTCAAGTATGTCCTGGGAGTCCTGACTTTACTAAGAGCACTGACCACAAAGTGAATTGTGGTGGTTTTTGTTTTGGCTTCTCCCCCCGCCCCCCCAGCTTTGTTCTCTGTTTTTTTAAAAGCACTAACATCAAACCATGTGTGCGAGATGGGTTTCTTCTGCTCCTTGCACAAATCAGCTTTGTAATGTAACTTAGACACTTCAAAAGTTGGGAAGCTTTTTAAGTTCAGGCGTCTGGTAATTCAGTGGATGATCTGTAGCTCGTCTTTCTGTCCAAGGCAACATTGCTGTTTATACTTCAGCTTTCTTCTTCATAATGGAAATTTGTGGAGCAAGGGAGGGCTGCCTGGCAGGGCAAGTAACCGGTGTAATTGCTTGTTTTTGTAGAGATGTTAAATATTAACTTTGCTTCCATTAACTGAAGATTTGCCTCCTTGGATTCCTTTTAGTTCCCAGAAATAACTGTCTAGGCAGAGTTGGAAGCTCTGGAGCTAAGCATGTGTAAGGAGCGCTCCCAGTGCGGCTGTGTTGGTAGCAGCTGAGTGCCCTCCCTCTTCTGACTGTACTCTGGAGGCAGATGGAGGCAGGGGCAGGGCTGGGAGCAGGGACCAAGAGGTTTCTTTGTAAATGAAGAGGATGATTTTGTGTCTTCCGCAGGTGGATTTGCGATAGTGTTTCTCGTGAGGACTAACAATGGGATGAAATGTGCCCTGAAGCGTATGTACGTCAATAACGAGTATGACTTGCAAGTCTGCAAAAGAGAAATCCAAATCATGGTAAGTCGCCACTTTGTATTGGGGCCCCAGACTGGGAGTGGAATGGTGTGAGAGCCTGGTCACCTTCTCCCTGTCATCTGTGTAGCATCATGTTGCAAACTGTGGGTTTTCTTAGCAAAACTGTCTGTCTCTTGGAAAGACCTGACTCCTGGAGTTATTCAACCACGTGAAAATCTCATATTGAATTATTTAAATCGTTTCTGTGGACAAGAAAAACGTGTGAGCTGAAAAAGCAGAGGGAATCTCAGGAAAATAAGGGGAGGGAAAAAATTCCTATGTCAACCCCTCAACTTAATGGGAAAAGGAAGAGTTGAAGAGATGAGCGTGGTTGGCGGTGTTAGACTTCCTGGTGTAACAATCTTCAGTTCAGGGATAAAGTCTTCAGCTTTTTGGACTTCATCAGAAAAGGCCGATGATTCTGATGTAACCATCTCTGAACTCAGCGCGTGAATGAAGACCTCCATCCAGAGATGAGTTTCTGTCACAACAGCTTCCAATCTTTTGCACTGGGGTGACAGTTATCTCTGCGTTAGTGAGGTTGACAGATTAAAACCAGTGTTTGTGGGTCAGTTATTGCCTGGGCTTTTGAAACAGGGAAGTATTTATAATAAGCACTGGCTTGTTTCTCTAGATTATTGGATACAAGGAGTTATAGGATAGCTGTTTTTAATAGCTGTTGTAAACTTGGCATCTCTAAACAAAAAATCGAGATGTTCCAAATAGATTTGCTTAGTCTTGCTTGGAGTCTGGTAAACACGGGAAGTGCCACTTTTGAAGTTGTATTCAAAGGTATTGATGAATATTTAGAGCAACTGTGAGGTGGGGAAGGAAATATAAAATCCTCATTCTGCTAATTTACAACACGAGGTATAGGTTTGGGGTAGATGATCTTCGTAGCAGAAGCTCTTACCTGTAGCAATTCTGTGTTTTTTGAAGTAGCTTTTAATGAGGTTAATACCTTAAAGTTAACTTCTGGAGTTTGTGCGATAGTGCAGTGAAGCTTTTGGGCATGCTTTCTCATCACCGTAGCTAATGCCACATGGGACAAGTTGAGATTAGATCGTACATCAAAGGTTTTAGCAGTGCTCACAAAGCTTGTTTACTCGGATTTTACTTGCCCGTGCTTTCCATTGTCTCCGTGTCTTTGGTACTTCTTTGAAATGTGTGGCTGACCTGGAAAGTCAGGGTGAGAAGTATCCTTCTTACGCTTGCTCCTGTGCTGAGTCTTATCATAAGCATAAATCTTTGTCCTGAAGAACCGGTATGCCACTAAACGGAAATATTTTCTTCTATCCTAGCTTTTGTGCAATAAGGAAGTATTTTACACTTCACAGCACTTTTTGCAACCCTAATATATTACAGCAAAATCTTGATTTCTCTTACTGGTGAGGCTGAACGTGGGCTGGCTGTCACACCTGGGAGTGTGTGTGAAGCTGGCAGTCCCAAAGAAATGACTTTTCCCTGCAAGTTTAGCATGTGTCACGGATAAGTCATTGATAAGAGAATTTTAATCCATCAGGTTACTTAAAATAAGATACTTCTAAAAGGTTAACATTTATTTTATTACCCTAGTGGATTTTTTTAAGCATGCAAAGACTTGGGATATTGTTTGCCAGCAGAAGAGTGGACGGAGAAGTAAGCACAACATGTACTGTGTGTGCTCACCACAAAACATCTGCCTTTGTTCTCCCCTCTGTGTGAAAGAGGAGCAGCTTCAGGTGGCTTGGCCTGTAAGGGAATGTGCAAAACGTCTGGGCTGCTCCCTGAACAAGTTAGTTCATCAGTCTGGCTGTTTCCATGCTGTTTGTCTCAAATCCTTCCGGAAGGAAAGCGGGTAGAGACAGACCTCAGGTTTGTTCGAGTTTTGTGTGACGATCAATGCAAAGTGGCAGAAGCTTGCGCCTAGACAGGAGAAGAGCTAGGAAAACTGTGTGGTGTGGAGGAACCGGATCAAAATGTTGCTTGCTCTTTATGGCTGGTTTAGGCTTTGAATTTATTTATCTTCTAGCGGGATCTGTCTGGCCACAAGAACATTGTTGGATACATCGATTCCAGTATAAACTCCGTAAGCAGTGGCGACGTCTGGGAAGTGCTGATACTAATGGACTTCTGTCGAGGTGAGTGTGGGCTCAACATATTGTTCCTTGGTAGATTTGTGCCTTTTTTGGTGCTTACAGGAAACTTGCACAACATCTTCCTTCAAAAAACCCAAACCTGTTCCTGGGCCTGGCCCTTCCTTGGCTACCAAGGAACCATTCTGAACAAAGCCAAGCCAAAACTAGGTGTGGAGAAGTGGATGATATGTGAGGCTATGCTGACCCTATTAATGGGACAGGTACCATTTTTACCCTTGTCCACGGTGGTCCTAGATATTTTCCATTGTAAAGGAGAACTCTTAAATATATATTGCTGTTTTCCATAGGCTCGTCCACACAAGAAATAGCTCTTCTAAAGCTGCCAGGCTGTGGAATGAAATTCTTCACTTTATGTCATATTGCAAGCTTTTTCCACTTCAGCCTGACTTAGGATTGTTCTGGAAGAAGCTTGAAATGGATAGTGTGAAGCCAAAAAGCATTCCCTTTACCTCTGACCTTTTTGCTTGGCTGTCTCTAGCCAGACAGGCTCTTCCAGTCTTTTCCAGCTGTCCCAAAGCTTTGATCTCTTGTGGCTAGGATGTGGTGTTTGGAAATTGATGCATGTGCTGTGCTCAAATGCCTTTCGCAGGAACGGTGTTAAGCAAAAATAATGTTTTGGCCAGGTGACTCCCCAAGTCTGTGGCTGTTTCAGATGGTGGCTGCTGATGGAAATAGGTATTCTTGGGACTATTCGGCTTTTAACTGAAGTCAGGTGCATTGTAGGAAACTACAAAATGCCTTTAAACATGTACAGCTCTCTGTTCTGCCATGCCCACTTTGCTGCTTGGTTTTGATGCAGGAATCTTGTCTGACTTGCGGTGGGTTTGTTGGCTGGTAGAAGGAAGAACCTTATGTGTGGCTTTTGCTGAAGGAATCATTACATAAGCTCTCTGTAAGCTTAAACCTAAATATCGCAAGGAGTGTTGTAAGAAATAGGCCTGGCAGTGCTGGTAAATCCATACTCCATGTTGCGGGCCCCACTGTGGAGGGAAGTGCAAACCACAGCAATTCAGAAAGCACTCCCTCCAGCTGCACGAGCCTCCCCTCTGCACCAAATTTCGGGCTGATGAAGTAAAGACCATCTTTCTAAGGTGTTTCCCTCCATCTGAAAGGAGGATTGCTGCAAGGTGGTATCTCTCACATGGCTTGTTTTTGCCAGATGTGCCAGCATGCTCGGCATATGCCTGTCTCTGTCTCCCACGTTCGGAGTGAAGCGGAGGAATTGCTGTTACACGCTGGATTTTCCCTTGTTACGTTCCTTTTGTGTCAAACAGTTTCCAAACCAAATCAGTGTGTCTCTGTGTGCAGAACTGCACTCACTTTGAGTGTGAAATGTTCACAGCTGTATTATATATTAACCTGAGCTCTCTTCTTTTGTAGCGTGAAAATAAAGTTTTTCAACACTGATGTGAAATATACAGTTTTGCTTTGCCAAAGGTTCAGAAAGGAGATTTTTTTCTCTGTGTATATAGGGTGTTTTGAGGGGGGAAGAACCTCTCTGTGGATTGTTTTGGAAAAGCCTTGACAGCAGCAAAACCTCAAAGTTGAGGCAAATTCAGGACTCATTCATGGAAACTTGTTTTTGTTTGTGTGGAATTTCCCTTTTACAGATGGATTTTTAATTTTTTTGCTAGCCTGGCTGTAGCCACACTACTTAGTAGTGTGGGGGGATTCTGGGTGTCTCCCTTTCTCCCTCCTCTTGCTTACACGTGGCAAACTATTTTGTGGACTGTGAATGCCCCAAATTCAGCCTTTTATTCCTCTAGTCTGACAAAAAAGTCTTATTTTGAAGAAGAAAGAAAAAGATGCTTCTCAGTCTGAATTACATTTGAGTGTCAACGCGGCCAGGTGAGTGTGGGCCTTAGAAGCTAACTTGCTGCTCTTGAAGCTCTGTTCAAAGCCAAGATGAGATGGAGCGCCTGCCGGCAGATATGTGAAACCCCCTGGGATTTAGGCGAGGAAATGAGAATGAAACAAGATGAGTAAGCAGATTGCAAAAAGCCTCTGGGGAAGGCTTGGTGCGAGTTTTGAATTTGAACTCGTGAACTTCTTGTGCGCTGACTGTACAGCCACAGTGTGACGGGGAGCAGACTAAGGTTACGTCTGGTAGGACTGGGGCTTGGACCAGGCCAGACCTCGCTTTGCATACCTGCTCTGATTCTCGATGTCTGTTTCTCCTCAGGAGGTCAAGTGGTGAACCTCATGAACCAGCGCCTGCAGACGGGCTTCACGGAGAACGAGGTCCTGCAGATCTTCTGCGACACCTGCGAAGCCGTAGCCAGGTTGCATCAGTGTAAAACGCCAATAATCCATAGGGATTTGAAGGTGAGTTGTGGACTCCAGTGACACAGCAGGGAGTGTGCCTCCTCCTGAACATGTCTGTTTGCTGCCTACGCCACGGCAGACAGGCTTTGAATACCGCTGCTGTGTTTCTGTTGTAGTAATGGGGAAAAGTGGGCATAACTACCTCTCTCTATTGGAAGATAAAAAAAGAAATGAGCCTCTCATTGCTGCTTACCATATGTTTACCATCTATAGATCTACTTAAAAAACACAAATGTTTGTGAAGAATTCTGTTTTGCACAGGAGATGTGCCAGAATGTGTCTGATGAATTATTCACAGTGACTTCATACCACCTGAAATACTACTGATGGTATAAGGTAGTTCACAAAAAGCATGCTGTAAACTTGTTTCCTGGACCCACATTAAAAGGATCCCTCCAGAGACGATGGCCTTGGGGCAGGAGTCCTTAGAAGCTTTTGAAACTGGCCTCTGACCCCGTTGACCATGCAAGTGCGCTGTAAAATTCTGCGTGCTTAGCTGGGAACAGAGCTAGGCCAGTGGGGAGAGCTTTTAAAAAATCCCATGCCTATAGTCAAACAAACAGAAAGATTTTCCCTTTCCTCTCAACTAACTCATAAAATGCCTGAATAATATATTCAGCCAAGAAGGAGGCTCCTGTGTACATTTGAAATTCAGATGTGCTTTGTGGGTCAGATTCTGTTTTCAGAGCCCTCGGCAGATGTGTGGTGTGTGCCGCTGGCCGTTGTTTTATAGGAGCAAAAGACGGCACGTGTGCCAACGGGAGCCAGGTAGCGCTGGGGAAAAATTCCTCAGGGTTTGGTGTGCTTTAACGTGTTTCAAATGATTGTGACCCCAGTTCGGATATATGAAACAAGTCTGACATCGTGTTTCTAGAGTGAAATGGGTGGAGTCTTACAAATACGAGGCCTGGATTTAAAGCTGTTAAGGTCTGTGAGAATCACGCAGGAGTTTGTATAAACAAGGAGAACTGGGGTGAGGGGATGAGGCTTAGGAACAGGAACCTCTACAGTTGATATTAACCCCTGCTGTTACCTTTTTGACGAATCCCTGGGGTTTTTCAATTAAGAACAAACTTGTTGTGTGGCATGTGAATAAATTCTGGGACATCTGTGATGGATTAGTGTGTTGATCTTGAGTGTTACTCTCGACACTGAGTTGCAATTGAAATGGACTGTTAGGGTCTGATGTCTCGCCCATGCTGCGTGCTTAGATCAGTAAAGTTTGCACGGTCTGGCTCTTGGTTGGTAAGCTCTGCCCAAGGTCAGAGACTTGGCTTCTCTCTGCTTTGAGACATGTTTCCCGCTTGAATATTGTATTATTTCTGTGGTGATGGCCCTCTGGAGCTCCAGTCGCAATTGAGGATTTAAGTACTAACACAGAATTAATGATTTAGATCTGTTTTGACTTTGTTCGAGTTCAAATTTAATAATGCCAAGGGGGGGCTGCAGTTCTAGAACTATTCCAAGAGAGATTAAGGTTCAGAAAAGTTCTGTACAAGTTCTGAGCGTGAGGAGAAGCATCCTTCGGGTAGCTGTTCTGGTGGGGTGAACATAACCCTGTTGAAGAGTGGGCAGATGTTGACTTTGCAGACAGCTGCATGGAGACTGGAGGCTTTTTTTGCCTTCCAGCTCTTTGATGTTGCTCTAACACTGGAGGTTCCTGCCCAGAGAGCTCTGCCAGCAGAAGGAATCGTTGTGAATAATCTTTAAGCCCTTTCAGACAAATGCAGCTGGATTAGCTTCAGCGGCCTGTGGCTGTGATTTTGAGTTAACCCAACAGGATTTGCCTGAAGCAGAACTACCTCCTGTTGGCACAATCTCCCAACTGGTAGGAAGCAACCAACAGCTGGGGACGACAGCACCTTTAAGCAGGCGAAAGTGGGCATCTCACTGCGAATGAAGGCCACCAAAAAGATAGTATGTGTTACGGTTTGAGTAACCCACAAGAATTTATTGTCATTTAGACAATTATTCTATCACCCAATGACCCCTCACCACCCAGGAAGGGGAATCGGGAACAAACAAGGAAACACGAGTGTTGAAATATAAACAGATTTAATAGGATAAAACTAAATAATTAACGTTAATAATACTGCAGAACCAGTATTGATCCCAATACCGATATAAAATATACAAGTCTTATTCTCAGCCCATTCTGTCAGTAGGAAGCTGGCCACTCTCAGCAGTGGGACCCTGCGAGCGCTGCGGCTTTGGGAGGAAGGGAAGGGCTCAGGGGCCTGGCACCGGGGCAAGAAGTTCTCTGGACCGCCACCATCAGGGGAGAGAGAGCACTTCTCAGCAAACTTTCTATTTTATATTGAATGTGACCTTCACGGTATGAAATAATCTGTTGGCAGCTTGGGTCAAGTGCCCGGGTCTCACTCCTCCTCGTCCCCGCACCTGGTGAGCTTGAAAACACAGAGACCTTGAAACCCACATACCATAGCTGGCTATAAAGTAAATATTTTTGCAAATTCAAACACTAGAGTCTTCTAAAAGCGCAGTTTTCCCAAGCATTAGAAGAGAAATTAGTCCTGTGTCTCTCAAACCAGGACAGTATGTCACCCCTGAATTTGTTTATTAAGGTTTTCCTTCCTGATCTAACGATGAACTCAGGTACTCTGTCAGTCTGTCCCTGCGTGCTCACAGCTGAACGATGTGCTGTACAGGGTGTGATATTTAGTTTCATGTGCCTTGATTGCCTGCCACAAAAACAGGCATATATTGATACTGCTTTTTCCTAAAAGTTAGGAAGCCCCTGGTGTGCCCCCTCTGCCCGCGTCTGCACCCCTGCGGGGGCAGAGCAAGCCTGCTGGCAGTAGGTCTGCCTTGCGTGGTTATCTTTACTTGGTCTTGCAGGTATTTTCCCCACCCTCAGGGTTCGTAGGCCATTGCTGCTGCAGGGCATTCCCTAAAAAGTTTAGTTTTGTTCTCTCTCTGGAGTGAGAACACTTCCGATGTCTTTAAGTTAGGCCTTTTAACATCGAAGAAGAAATGGTGAAATCTTCTTATGGCTGTCGGTTCTGTTACTCTGCCTGGGAAGTCTCTGCTGCTAAGGTGGAATCTACGCAGAGAAACTGTGACTGCCAGCCCCCGTTGGAGGGAGGCGAAAATCTATCTAGGGCTGATGATAACAATTTCCACAACTACCCTATATCTAGCGGTAGTTGTTTGCATAACTTGTTTTACATTTAACTCTGTCTTTTCAGTGTCACATCCTATAACTCATGTTGTTCAAAGCACCAGCTTAGAGCCAACTTTGATTTCTGCAGTGAGAGATCTCCCACTTCTACCTGTGATGCTTCTGCTAGTCTGAACCCGCCTGGTTCTGGGAGTAGATGTCTGACTTGCAGATGAGTGCCTGATTTTTCTTGTAGTAAACACAGAGCAGGATACAGCAAAATACTATGTCAGTCAGCCCAGAGGATGCTGTTGATCAAGATACCTTTCTGCTTTCTGAAAGAACCAGAAGGTTGTGCTCTCCTGTTAAGGATTTAGTTTCTTCTGCTTTCATTTTAGCAAGAGTCCTCCTGGTGTTGCACTTCTCTGTGGTGTCATAAGACAGTCACGCTGTGCTGCTCTTATCTCTCTGCCTTCCATCGCAGTTCTTTGTAACACCAAGTTTTGTCCTGATGCCACCAACAAGCCTTTGCCTGGAATTTGCTTGGATGGCTCTATGTTCAGAGGGTGATGCGTAAAATTGTCCAGTTCCCTAATGTTAAGCCCTTGCGTCGACCAGGTTAAGAATATGCCTGTGCCAAAATCACTTAGTCCTCTTAGATGTCATGTTGCATTCATTTCTTTGCTATGAAATACTAAACAAGCTTTCAGAAGTAGATAGTGAACGGTGCCAAGGGAGGAAGGGAGGTTGAAACATCTCTGAAAAGACCTGAAGGTGTTGGAAGGCAGTCAGAAAGTGTACCTTGGTCATGCATCCCTCCCAGATTGCTACTTAGAAATACTGGCCTTAGAAGCCATTGCTCTTAGAGAGGATAACGTGTGTTGATTTTGCTAGTTAAGGAAAGCCTTATGCCTTTTCCCTCACCAGTCTGTGTCTGTGCAGTGTTTTTACCAGTTTACTTAAGCTTTTACCAAAGAAAGGCATTTGTTTTGGAGAGTAGAGACCAAAGCTAGCTACATTCTGTAACTAAAAAAAAACTTAAGGCAACTCATAGCTTCCTGTAAAGGTTTTTGTTTGGGGTCTAAATCTGACTTTAAGCGTTGGGCATGTCAAAGCTGGAGTTGTAAGCGCTCAGCAGTGCTGAGAACTTGGATTGCAGCTTTCCAAGGGTTTGACTGGAAGAAGGCACCTCCATACTCTTTTAAAAAGACAGTGTCTGCTGTCCTGGCAGTTGGCAGCTGTAATTCAGGTACTTTGTTTTGCTGTTTGGTTTGTTTTTTCCTTCTTTTTTTCTGGAGGTTACTGAACGAGCCTGGTTGCTGGATAGTCCAGTGCTGATGTTTAATAAAACTTGCAGGACGTTTCAGTGAGAAGTCACGTCAGACTTTTCAGCCGGATAAAGTGGAAGGATTCTTCTGGAAATGTTTGATGAGTATTTGCAGGGAATAGGGAATAATGCTGTCAGTGTTGATCTGCTAGGGAGAACATCTGTGTGCAATGCTTTATTCAAAGCAGATGGAGAGCGAAGGGGGGAAGGGGTGGTGTTTAACCCTTGGTTTCAAGCCAGCATTTCCCCCCTCAGCTGCTCTAATTTGGCTGCATTTTCTGAGGCTTAAAATGCTGACTCCTTTTTCTTTCCTTCTTGTAAAGATCATCCTTGATGGGGAGGTCTACTTCCAAAAGGTTTTGTCAGGGAATATTTATGTGGTGATTTTTTTTTTTTAAATATACGAGCAGTATGTTTTATCTCGTTGTTTTATCTGAGCATTTGACATTGATTGAAGATAAATATGTTAAAAATTGTGTGCATTCCCTTGAGAGAACATGCTGTTAATGCCACTGTACAGATGAGGAACTGGAATACAGGGATGGTCTGCTAAAGCAAAAAACTGAACCCAGGTTTTCCCACATCTTATGTTGGTGTTGTAACATTCAGACAGCTTTCGTAGGTAGACATGAGCTTTTTGTTAATGCGTGATTAAGTGTGAGTATTTAGGGGAAAGGCAGTGACTCTGCTGATTTTATTTATATTTCTTTTCAGCTCTCCCAGGTGTTTGTTCCAGCATTTGTTTCAGTTGTCTGATTCAAGCTGCCAAATAGTATTTGAAAGAAAGGGGTCATCTTCTCAGCAGCCTGGGTGAACTTCTGCTGATAGAGCCACTGTTTAGGGAGTACGGGGTACCCAGCGCATTCCGATAACGAGCGACTGAACTGTGAGCGTAAGCTGAGGCTTGTTTTGAATGAGACCCTAAGTGACAGGTGAAATGCAGGCAGAGAACCGGAGAGATTTATTATCGTTTCGTAAAGTACAGAAGTGTGTGTGCTGCCATCCATTTGCCGCCTCTCTGCCTCACTAGGCAGCGAGGGGTTACAGCCCTCGATAAACCTGTGGACAGCTTGTCTTAGCTGTCCCAAATTCAGATACCAGACTGTCTGTTGTAGTAGCTGAGGGAAGTTGAGCACTAAGGACACGGGGACACAGTTCTTGTCCTGAAGCACGTAGTAGTCTTAGTAGAGGCAAGGTGATGTGCTTGCGAAAGGAGAGGTGGCAGGATGGAAGGCAGTGTTGCAACTGTGCTTCCACGATTTGACTTCTATTTTAGGAGATGTGACAGAGTTTTGATGCGTATTTTCTTTGCTGTCATATTACGCTTTTATGTCAGACATGTCTGATATGTTTTCAGGCGCTAAAATCCCTGGCTTGTCTAAAGAAGGCGAATGTTGTTGGGTTTTTTTGCCTGAGTGATTCTGTATTTGTCTGTGATGCTCGTAGGTTGAAAACATCCTGCTGCACGATCGTGGCCACTATGTCCTGTGTGACTTTGGAAGTGCTACTAACAAATTCCAGAACCCTCAGACAGAAGGGGTGAATGCGGTAGAAGAGGAGATCAAAAAGTAAGTGTGCTTTTCCTTTTCAACTCGGATGTATTTGCAGGGTCATTTTTTATTGTACCAGGACTAAATTTTACTCAGGCCTCTTGCAGCAGATTGGATGCTGCAGCGTAGAAGTGTCTGCTGCAGGTAAATAACCGCCTGGGGGAAGGTGAAACAATAAATTGAGCTTGATGTAATTGCTTTGGACCTGAAAGACCGAGTGTGCTAATGCGGAGAAGTTGCCCACCTTGAAGAGGTAGTGACATGCTCAGTTATGTATGGGGTCAGTCTGTCTCTGTCCCTCATCTATCTTGGCTTCTTTGAACTGCGGTACAGCAGATGACAAAACCCCTGTCCTCTGTGAGCCGCTCGTCATAAATCCTTGCAGTGACTAAGGGAACGGATGGTCTAACTCCTTAGCTCTTCACAGAAAATGTCAGGACCTTGAGGTGTTTAACGGTTCCTTCTCTTGCCCCGCGCACAGCCGGCTGGGGCGGTAGCAACGAGGTGCACCTTGATGCCTTTACAAAGGGAACTTAGCTGGCAGTTCAGGAGGACCTAGATCAGGAACGGAGCAGACTCCGGGTCATTGGTCTTGCTTTAGTTTTAACACCATCACTGCTGCAAACTTTCCAGTTCTGCTAATACAATATTCTGGCTAGAAAGCAGCATGTTAGAAATGTGTGCAAATGCCTCCTTTTTATTAGGATTCAGTTACGCCTGCCTGGATTTCCTAGACTTGTTTGACTGAAGTTTTTAGAGCGCTCCTAGTCTGGCTTTGCAGTGCCCGTGGAATGCCCTGTTTGTACGCTTGGTAACAACCCTGCAGAGACTTTGCCTTTAGCAGTGCTTTCTTGTGATCAAGGTAAATGGCATGCAATGTGCCACAGCAGAAATTGTAGACCTACTGATAGGAAATCTTATCGTGAGTCTCTTAAACTGTGCCACAATTTCTAGCTTTTCTCTTTATAGTGATTTTGTTAAAATGAGACAGATTCTAGCTGTAGTTTGAGATACAAAATAATCTTTCCCTTGTTTACAGTGACTCTGAGCAGGAGTCCTGGTAGGGAAGTCAATTAGGAGCTACGCATCCCGTTACAGTCTTTGTAATACAGCTGGCCGAAGCCCCAGCAGTGAGGACATTGCAGAGGACATTTGGCTACTGACCTTGTTAATACTCTGAGTCCTCGAGTATTTCTGTTCTAGTTCTTAAAATGACTGTACTGTTTTGTGAGTAAATTGCTTGCTTTAGAAAGGATCTTGGTTACTGCTTTGGTTTCACAGGGCAGTTTGCAGTCGTTAGTATTTTACTGTTTTGTGTAGCAGATGCTGCTGTTAAAAGATTTTCCAATAGATTATCATCTTTAGTATACCTTTCTCTAAAATGAATAGGAAAAGAGTGAATTTTGAATTATTTGGAAATGTGACACTGTGAAAATGCATCTGATAACCATTTCAAACTCACTGATAGATCTTTCTGCTACAGGTACACTACATTATCCTATAGAGCACCAGAAATGGTCAACCTCTATAGTGGCAAACTTATTACTACAAAAGCAGACATCTGGGTACGTATAAAAACTGCTTAACATCATACAACCAGACTGCAGCTTGCTTTCATTACCATAATGACAGGGTAACTTTCTGGCTGGGGCTAACCTAGTTTCCGTAAGAGACTGGACAGTTTCTGAATAAAGAGTTCCTCTGCCTGATATTTCTGATGAGTTACTGCTGGGCAGGGTGGCTTGTGGATAAAACACACGTGCTTCTTTGCATGCTACCTCCCATGTGGTTTTAATTTAGAGATGTATGAAATTCCAGGGTTGAACAGTGCAAACCTGATTTTGTATCTTAAGAGTTAAACCAGAAAATTTAGAGTATTGTGCCTGGGTTGGCTTGGAAACATGTGAAATCGAAGTCAGCGGTCAGAATTTAGCAGAAAACGGAGAAAATAGACCTCCTCTCAGGAGCGATAGTATGCTTATCCTGGACAGCGTAACGCAGGTCTGAGTTGTCAAACCTGGCCAAAGACCAAGCTTTTGCACTGCTGTTTCTAATGATCGGTGCAATCGTGCCATGCTTTTCATGTTGAGAGTGAAATGCAACTGCAGTGTAATCTGTTACTGGCTGACTTGATTGAGGATGGAATGCTTCCCTCTACTTGGGACAGAGATGGAAAAAAGAAAAGGGTGTGCTGTTCGTAGCGTAGTGGCAATTCAGCAAACCGGATGTGTTTAAAATGCTAATTCAGAGCATGTTTGTCTGGTTTCTGAAGCCCTGAGCTAGGAAGTAACAAGGCAGAAGCAGTATAAGGAGAGTTTTAATGTATGCTCAATAGCTCTGCATCTGCATATACAAGAGGGGAAAATTGCTGGCGTGACATCTGCTGGGAAGAGTCCTCTGTCCCCTCTGAGCTCATCGCGCAGTCAGGAACGCAGCAGCTCCCGGGGGGCTCTTGCACCACTGAGTTCAGTGGGGGGTTTGTAGAACCGGGCCCCGTACCAGTGCCGGGTCCCTCGCTTTGCCGTTAGAGACGTGGAGAGGGAAGGTCACAGCTGTTACAGCATGAAAAGACTGTCAGGGCCTCAAAGGCAGCCAGAGGAGAACCTCAGATTTGCACTCCTTCCTGTGATAATGTGGAAAGGCGGAGACCCAAAGGCTCCAACGGCGCTCTCCTTCCTGGCGTGGAAGGAATTCTGTTCCAGTGACCCGCTGAGCATTTCCAAACGAGCGTCCAGAGCAGGGCCTTGACTCCCAAGGCCCGTCACAGTGCTTGTCCCACTTGTAACCTCCCTTTCCTTAAATCTCATCAAGGTTATTTTAAACCGGAGTGCCATTTAGTTGTGAAATCCTATGACAAAAGATATAAGCTGATGATGAGTTGTTTGGGATTAGGAAATGCTTCCCCCTCTCCCTGCTGAGATGGTGGGAGTGTTTCATAATTAGCCTTTTGTGCAAAAATTGTATTTTCTTTTGAAATAGGTGGTGGTTCTTGCTGTCAAAGGCAGCACGGAAATAGATGGAAGGGTGATATAACCTAACAGCCTGCAGACTTCTCTGTATAGCTCTCCCTGGTACATATTTATAGCAATTGAACTTAAGCTTGGAAACTGTTTGGATTTTTCCTTGTCAGGATAGATGTATTAAGGATGATGGTTACCATTTATTTTTGCTATTACTTTGCTTTTTCCTTCCAGTATGTGGCAGAAGCAGGCTCTGCCTGTTCAGTGACGTGAAGGGTTACACTGTAGTGGTGTGTGGAGCTGGGGGGGGTGGTGGTGGTGGTGATGCTCACACGATCCCCCAGACTACAGTATCTCAGCCTGGCGAGGGAGAACTCTTTGCATATTTATCTTCCCGCAGAGCTGTGCTTGTTTTCAAGTCGATCCCGGGCCTGATGTCACGCGGGACCCCAGAGCAGACCAAGCAGAGCCCTTTCCATGTTACCTACAGTGGTATTTGAATTGTACTGTTCCTTGCTTGGCTTCGCTTTGTTAAATCCTTTGCTCTGTTCTCTCTTTTCAGGCCCTTGGCTGTTTACTGTACAAGCTGTGTTACTTCACCTTGCCGTTTGGGGAGAGTCAGGTGGCAATCTGTGATGGCAATTTCACCATTCCAGATAATTCTCGGCACTCGCAAGACATGCACTGCCTCATCCGTGAGTGTCTCTGACAGTGCTATAATCTACTTCCGCAGGACTGAAAAAATAGCAGAGGTTTTGTGTTCTTACATTCCCTGGTCCTGCAGTAAAAGAGTTGGTGTTTTTCTTCTTTTAAGAGACTTGCTTGCACGCAGGGGTGGATAAGGTGATTGTTTAGTAGCTTAGGGGATCACTCTTCGAAAGAAATTATGACGAGGAGATTTCTATTTGGCTAGGCTGTAGTGGACTCCCTGGAAGGGCAGGAAAACAGACAACGGTTTGGTTTGAGTCCTACAGAAACTTGCACAATAAGCCTATTTATGCAGAAATGTATTTCTTCAGTATTAAATCTATTTGGATAAGGAAATGAAAAGAACCACAGAGGTTTAGACTGGCGATAAGAATTCATCTTCTGTGAACTGAGAAACAGAACTGAAATGATTTATAAATAACCCACTGACTAGAGTGAATGTGTAATTAAGGGTACAATGCACTACTCTTGGCAGAGCTGGGGCAGCTCTCTTGTTTTCAGCACAGCATTTGATTTTATTTTTTATTTTTTCCTAGCCACAATCTTGACTAACACAGAGTTGGATGTGTTTGCAGAGCAGCCTGGTGTTTTCTTTGCTTACGTGGTGGTATATGTGGCTGCCCTGTCTCCCTGCCCCACTGACACACTGGGGTTGGATCGAGCTCTTTTCCTGCGGGTTCACTTGGAAATGCAGAAGTGGAAACCAATGCTGTTCCCTGACCAGACAGGCTGCGTTTCCCCTCCTTGTTCTAGAACCTCTGATCGATAGCAGCTACAAATTGTTCGTAGCTGTACTGGAAAATGTCTCCTAGTCCACCCTGACCGTCTGTCTTGCCCCTTTCTCTCCGAGCCTGATGAGCAGCTCAGCCCCGCTGACCGCCGGCTGGATGCTTGGGAAGAGGCAGGGCGCCCTGTTGGCACCTGGTTATGCCAACTGTAGCCCTGCCACAAATGGCTCATGTCAATCTGTCCGTTCCATTGCTCTGATATTAATGTCCCTGTCTTTTAAAGGGTATATGCTTGAGCCAGACCCTGACAAGAGACCTGATATTTATCAGGTTTCCTACTTCGCATTCAAATTGGCAAAGAAGGAGTGCCCAGTCCAGAACGTCCAGGTGAGTAGCAAAGGGCTGGGCTGATGTCGGGCTTTGTGGGAGGAGACTGGGGGTGGCATTTGCTCAATGCTGAGTATTCTGCTGTATTCTGATGTTCTGCTGTATTCTGGGAGTTGTTCCCCAGTTATGTAATTAGGAGGGTCTTTTTTTTTTCCTTTGGGGTGGGGTCAGGAATCAGGGGTTGGTTTCATACATTGTTTATTTCTGTTTGTCCCCAATTCACCTCCTCACCCGGTTACCACTGTGAGGCCGACCAGGAGATCTTGTGCATGTGAACATGGAAAATTAGGCCATGCTCGTGAAACTGATTTGATTTCCAGGCACATTCATCATAGCGTGTGTAATTTGTGCTGCAGTTGGTTTTAAATGTAGCGGTTTTGTGTCTGCCGTCTGGCTGGGACTAGCCAGCTTTGCATTTGAACTGCATCAGACCTTACACAGCCATCTGCCCCTACTTAGTGTATCTTGATAGATTTCAATTGAAAAATAGAGCTGACAAGTATTTTCTTATGGTGTGACGGACATCTGTGACATGACATTTTATTTTGTTGTTTCCCGGTAAGAGGAAACCTACTTTTTTTTCCCCATGTTCAGGTGGTTATTTATGTTCTTTATGAAAAAGACATGGTTTTGGTACTATCGTGCCTGTATTTTTTATAGCAGTATTAATAAGTATTGCTGCTATTGTCCCCAGGTTGTCTAAAAAATACCTAGGTTGTGCTATGAAGCTTTGTGTTCAGATTCCACATGTAGTAAATGGTCAAAAAGCTGAAGTGTGTTTTTTCCCTGATAAAGACTCTCCCAAACGACTGTCTCCTTATGACATTGACATTGAGCAGTTTGTCCTGTGTCCAGCATGAGGAACAGTTGCTTTGGGGATCCCCCAGTCTCCCCATTTCATTGCGATGCTTTTGAAAAATATTTCTGACTTTGTTTTCTGTCCTTAAAATACAAAATTTGGTGTGTTTGGGATCTGCAGAACTCTCCAATCCCCACTAAACTCCCAGATCCGGTTAAAGCAAGTGAAGCTGCTGCAAAGAAGAGTCAACCAAAGGCCAGGTAACCACATCTGCATTATGCTCTGCCCTCTCCCTTTTTATTGTCTGTTGTCTTTCTGCTGTTTATTAGGAAAGATGTTTGGTATATTTAGCTTGTGGGCTTACATTTACACGTGGAGACAAACACTGCAGTCCTGAGGCTTCTGCTTCAATGACATAAATAACCATTGATCTGAAAGGCAGAAGATGCGGATATTAGGGGAAATTTTTCTGCAGGGGGAGGGCGTGTGACTGGGGCGATACTCAGCATGACTCAACAGCTGGGCTTTTTGTACTGGAGACATTGCGTGACAGCAGCACTTGAAGTTCGTGCGCTACTGAATCTACTGTGTCATCCATCCGGAGGCAGTACCCAGAGTACCTGAGAGCAAAGTCAGGAGAAAGACTGCAGTGGGCCTGGAATTGGCCCAAAGAATGCGAGTCTGCTGAGAAACCGCGTTGGGGACTAGTGCTGTTTGAGTTTCACCCTCAGCAGAAGATGACATGACCCAATAATTACTGTATGAAATTGCTGTGATTTCTGCAAGAGTCCTGTAATTTATTTTGGGGGGGACCACACATACGAAAGCCCAAGCAGTCTCCATCTGAGGAGTCCAATTAGTGGGGAAACCACTGTACTGCTGTGGTTTTTCTCCTCTCCTGCAGCTGCTCGCTCTGCTTATGATACTGTAATGGAGACTTGTAAATTCTGTTGGACAAAACTTGTACCTTACTGTACTGTAAAGTGAGCAGTACGGCAGTGGGCACTCCAAAACCAGCAGTTTTCTTCAGACTCTGAAATAGGGCATCTCTCCTGCTGTCTGTCAGTCCCAGGAGTCTGCTTTGTTTGTTTAAATAATTGAGTGCAGTTACCCTCACGTAAGTAGAACAACTTGATATCTAACAAGCAAATGTACCCACAGAAGGGCAGGGTGGTGTCTCGCTTCTTGGCTCTGTTGCTGTGTGTTTTTGGAGCTCGGTAAATATTGAGCAGAGATCAGAAGAGGTCCAATGACCTGAGTCTGGGGTCGATGTACTAAAGTTAAGGAACTTCTAAAGATGGCAATTTAGACAATTCTGCCCAAAGGTACCAGCTGCTCTTAAGCTAATTTATTATGTCCTTCATCTGTTCATCCAGATCTCTAAGTGGATTTAAACAATATGTTGTAGCAAATATTTGAATGAGTTGAGTGATTTTGACAAGTTCCAGCTGTCCAACAGGAGAACATGCCACAATTGGCAAAGAAGTCAAAATGATAGTGTTGGATTAATTGTTGTGAATGCATCCGTTAAGTTTTACTGTGCTTGTAGTTTTCTGGCAAGAGTTGGGGTGTGTGTCTGGATGCCCACAAGTGTTTCACCTTTATCAGTCACGTACTGCTGAAGTATGGATGAGTTTTTAAACCCTTACTGTGTGTTGCATGCGCCAACTGTCAGGCTATCAAAGACTGCACTCTCACTGCTCTTCCTTTTATTTCTCCTCTTATTTTATAGGCTGACAGATCCCATCCCTACGACAGAAACTTCCATAGCGCCCCGCCAGAGACCTAAAGCAGGACAGACACAACCCAACCCTGGAATTTTACCCATTCAGCCAGCCCTGACGCCTAGGAAGAGACCCACGGCTCAAGCAGCCATTCAGCCACAAGGTGAAACGGTGTTCCCTGTGCGGTGCCTTCCTGCCGGGCGCTGTTGTACTGCAGGGCTGTGGTGCACGTTGGTCTAAGGGATCTGTATTATTATTTTTTCGTCCTACCAGTTGCAGGACCTGCTGCCTTGGGCAGTGCTCAGCCTTCGCTCCCTGCCAGCGGCCCACAGCAAAAAGCAGCACCTCAACAGACCCCGGCACAGCCACAAGCCAAGCAGGTGCCAGCTGCACAGCAGACATCGCAGGCGCAGCCCCAGGTCCCTTCTACTCAGCCACAAGCCACACCTCAGCATCAGCAGCAGCTTTTCTTGAAGCAGCAGCTCCTGCAACAGCAGCAGCAGCAACAGCAACAGGCTGCGTATTTCCAGCAACAGCAAATGATGCAAGCTCAGCAGGTAGGTGTTTGACCGTGTTTGTCGCGTGCTTCCTGTGCTAGAGGCCTGCAAGGCTGTATCGTTGCATTTAGGCCAAGTTCCCTGGTTTTTGGGGCGATAGGTGCGGGTTTTGGGCATTTTCCAATGCGTCTCCAGTTCTCTAGCAAGACTTTGCTACGCAAGGCTGGCGTTTTTAACTGTCGTTGTGGCAGACATTGAGATAGTTTTCACAGAATCACAGAATTTTCAGAGTTGGAAGGGACCTCTAGAGATCATCTAGTCCCACTCCCCTGCTAAAGCAGGATTGCCCGGAGCACGTTACTTAGGACTGCATCCAGGAGGGTTTTGAAAATCTCCAGAGAAGGGGACTCCCCCCCCTCCCTGGGCAGCCTGTGCCAGTGCTCTGTCACCCCAACTGTAAAGAAGTTTTTCCGTGTGTTGGAACGGAACTTCCTCTGTTCCAACTTGTGCCCATTGCCCCTCGTCCTGTCACTGGGAACCACCGGGAAGAGTCTGGCTCCATCCTCCTTCAACCCACCCTTTAGATACTTGTAAGCAATAATAAGGTCTCCCCTCAGCCTTCTCTTCTCCAGTTTTGTCAAGTACAAACATAACATAAGCAGTGCCGGTTAAGATTTTACAGCTCCAAGTGTTTCAGGGTCTTGAGGTCAATGCTCAACTGATGAGCAGAAGGGTACAGTTTCTCTTCTGCTCTTTGTGATACCAGAAGCCTGGTGTGCCTCTTCAATGGTGAGACCCAGGTCTGTGTGTGTGGTAGGCTGCGGTGACAGGGAGGGCTGTGAACGCGTGATGTGTTAGACGGGATGTGTCTAGATGACAGACTTGCATGCTTAACTGAGGTGTTTATACCAGCACAGATCTCTGCTAAAGCATATTTAACAGCGGAAGCAAAGGGACAGTAAATCTTCCTATGCTGGGGAAAGGTTTAGAATTGATAAAAACGGAGAAAGGAGTGAATTTGGGACCATGGGACAGTCTGTGCTGTGGGAGCTCCGTGCAAGCAGGTGTAGCACAGAAAGAATGTAATGTTAGACCAGAAAGCCGTTTTCCACCTCGCCTTTGCAGATGGTCTCCAGGCCATCGCAGCCTGGTGCTGCTTTGCCGCCTGCTGTAACCGTTCCCGTGGCTGGCCCTGAGTTCTGGTGGTGGTACCCCAGTTCCCAACTGCACAGCAAGCAGCTCAACAACTGGTTGTTTCCCAGTTCCCAGTGATGCAGCAAGGAGCTCCAGCACAGCAGCAGCTGATGCAGAACTATTACCAGCAGCAGCAACAGCAGCAGCAGATGATGGCCCAGCAGGCAGCGATGCAGCAGAAGACGGCGGCAGCAGCAGCAGCAGTTCAGCAAAAGCAGCAAACCCCGGCGCCGTCGCAGCCACCGCAGGCCCAGCAAAGTGCAGCCCAGCCAGCGCAGCCGCAGGAGGTAAGAGTGGTAAGAGCCTTGTGGGGAAGGAGTGGGGCGGCAGGATTTGGAGTTGTGGCAAGTGCTCTCCAGGTCCTTTACGCCAGCAGCACCCCGGGGGGGGGTTGGCTTTTCGGACCCACAGAGCCCAGGTGCTCCAGGGCCTGCTGGCCTCGAGTGCTTCATTACTGAGTCGCAGATGTCAGCGCTAACCTTGCTGGCCCGAAGACACGTGCAGTTGTTTGGACTGCTCTTTCCAACGGGTTGCTGTACGCAGGAGTTGTGCTTTGGTTCCATAGAAAGAAGATGAGTAGGTGATGAGTTGAAAGCAGATAAAAAGATACAAGTAGCTGCTTAATGCAGCGTCTCTCTATCCTTCTCTTGTCATGCTGCCTTAGAAGATGTGTGGTCAACTCTTCTAAAACTTATTTGCATTTAATGCATCATGATGGGCACCAGGCAACAGAACTGCTTCATGTTGCTGCTTGTTTGGAAAACTTCCATCTCGTATTCGGGGCTCTGATGCAGAGGAAGGTGCGAGCAGCCTTCCTAGTTGTTTCTGGTGTTGGGATAACTTTTTTTCTTTAATGAATACTATGGGAAGGAAACTCTTCAAAGCACCGTATCTAAAAATAAATAAGTAAATAAATCATCCACTTCACTAATCATCTGAATGTGCATCCAAAATAAATGCTCTTTACTTACTGGAAAATATGGCTGTCTGCAACAGGGAAATAGCCAGCTGTCTGCGGCGTTGAAGGCAGGGCAGCCGTGCCAGAGGGCAGAATCCCCGTTGCCAGAGTGTCGCTGCAGTACCTATGCGAAGAAACTGTGCCTTTTGCTTTCGTTCCTGCACAATCCCATCCGCTCTCGCTTGTTTTTTGGGAATGCAAAGGGATGTCCCTAACTCTAGTTGCGTGCTGGAAAGAAAGCATGTGCAGGCACCAGGGAAGGGGAGGCTGCCCGTTATTTTGCTGTACCAGGTTGCACGTGTGCAAAGCAAACAGTATCTGATAACAAACCACTTCAGGTACGCAATATTTGAGTCCAACTAAGGGTCAGTTTGTGCTTGCTTGTTCGTGAGGTGCTAGTCATTCAGGACATAATTAATCTCTTGAACATGCTTCCTTTGAAGTGGCATCAGGAATTAATTTGACTAATAAACTCCATAAGCCAGTGACCTGAACAGTGCTGGGGAAGCATTGTTTGCTTTACTCTGATGTGTCTCAAGGCTCCGTCATATTCACCCCCTTCGCTTTAATATTAATTTTCAGCACTAAGCTGGTTGTTAGGGTAGGTGACAAGCTTGGAGCTGTTGTGTTCCTGGTCTTGTTATCGATTGCTGAATGACCTGGGGCAAGTCAGTTCATTGAAATTGGTGGGAGATTATCAGTCCACGCAGACAGGTCTTGGATGATGCCCATTATTACCCTGTTCCTTTTAGAGGAGAAATGCCTGAAATGTAGTATTGAAGTGCATCTCTAAAGAGCTTTGCTGTGATTCACTAGCACAAAACCAGTCTTAATTTTATTAAATCAGCTGGACTGAAAATTAGCCTTATCCCCCCAGAAGGCTGATCAGAATGGATGCGTCTGGACACTTTTCTGCCCCTGCAGCAGTCAGGAGAGGAAAAGCAGTCGTTGGCTCATTTAAAAAAGATAGTGAGACATGGTCTCTGCAGAGCAGAGTCTCTGAGCAGAAGATACCAAGCCAGGACCCGTCAAAACATTTTTGCGTTGCAAGACTTCAGCTTAATAGGCTCCGCATTCATTTCTGTGGAGATTTCGGCACTGCCCTTTTATTTCTCAGCACCAAATGTACCGTTCTGCAGTGACCTATATAGCGAGACATAAGGTGGGTGCATCAGAAGCAGTCAGGTCAGCTTGATTCTCAGCCGCAGTGAATTAGCCTGCCTGAAAATGCCAGATGAAAAGCAAGGCAGCTAACCACTTGTTTGCCTTGTCCCACTGTAGTAAGCACCACACTGGGGATGTAACTCTTCTCATTGCTCTCTTGGGTCTTCCCAAGTGTTTCCTCTGTCTTCCTTGGTTGAAAATGGCCTGGGATGGTGCAGGGTGGGGAACAGGGAGCTAATGCCCAGGCAGGGGAGGTGACAGGCACAGCTTTCTGCTCTTTCCATCCTGGTTTTCCTGCTTTAAATCCAACCATGATATCTCACTGACAGACAGATTTTGGAAAAGGAAAAAAAAAACCACCAAAAACAATCACATAATTGGAAGTCATGCTGTTGGTTATCACTACAAAACAGTATTTCAATTATTTATGGGTTTGTGGGTTTAACACAAGACTGAGGTAGTTTCCAAAGGGTTTTTAGCGGGGCTATCTTGGCTTACACCTAAACCAAACATGTTTGTTTTTCTCCTCCAGATTTTAAGGACAAATGTTGCTCCTGTGGTCCTTGCACATCCACCCCCCACCCCCCATACTCCCCAAAAGAAAGCTAAGAAAGCTTATTGCACAAGATTTCTGCAGAAGACCTGTACTCCTTTAGGGATTTGACCCCAATCACACATTATCTGCTGGAGGAAGCGCTGCTCTTCACTTTACCCCCACTCCATGTGTCTGTATGACAAGACTCCTGCACACTATGATCTGGTTTGTTTGTTTGTTTTTTTTTTACCTCTGCCCTGGATCTCAGCCTCTTTACCCATGAGCAAGTTTCTGAGACCAGCTAGCCTTTAATGACAAGCGCTAATAGGGGCTGCGCCATAGAAAGGTGAGAAAGTGTCTGCTCCTGCGTTTGTACTAATCCTGAAATACAGCAAATTCCCCCACTCCCGAGTCTTTTGTTTGCTTGATTTTTCCCCTCCAGACTATCCCCAGTCCGTGACTTGAAGGTCAGGTCCTCCAGCATATAGCTGTTTTTTTCGTCATGATTGTTCACGAGCAACGACGTACCATTTTACTTTCTCTCCTAGATGCAGGCACAAATGAGACAACAGCAAAAACCTCAGACGACTCCCCCCACGGCAGTGCAAGGGCAGAAGCTGGGTTCTCTCACCCCTCCGTCCTCCCCCAAGACACAGCGTGCAGGACACAGGAGGATTCTGAGCGACGTGACCCACAGTGCGGTTTTTGGGGTTCCGGCCAGCAAGTCTACCCAGCTCCTGCAGGCGGCGGCTGCTGAAGCCAGTCTCAACAAGTCCAAGTAGGTGGCTGCTCGCTTGGTGTCACGGGGTACAGAGGGAGGAGGGTGTAGAGGAGGCTCGTCGGCGGTTTCCTAGGCGAAGCTCTGAGAGGAAGGTAGGCAGCAAACTGTGAGGTCAAAATGAGTCTTTGCCTTCCCAAGACCACAGTTTAGGGCTTGGCAGAAAGTTGCTCAAAAAACTCCCCCGCTCCTCCTGAGCGCTTCCGTGCTCCCCAGAAGCTAGGCAAGCAGGGCCTTCCTCCGGATTAGAAAAGCTGGTGTCATTTCAGCTGTTCCACCAGTAGCCCTGGTGTGCGCTTCACGCTTGCTGCTCAGCTTCAGCACGTCCCCAGGAGTCCTTGCTAGGTCACTTTTACAGTGTCTACAGGCAGGAAGCCTCCACGTGGGCAGTGAAGAAAATTGTTTCAAATGCGATGCTTATGATGCTCGGTGTAATCCCTGACACGAGGATGCTCAACCAGGTTGTGAGTAGTACCTACTCACTGACTGGTCTCAGCTTTCTGGGCATGCAAGTACAATAACTTGTGCTGTTTTAAGTAGGAATTAATTGTACAGCAGTAGCTTGGACCAGCTCTTAGTGCTGGCCAGAGGATTTCAGATGGGTTATTAACGACTGTTGTTTGGTTGGGATGATCACATCCAGATCGGCTTCCACCACACCTTCGGGTTCCCCAAGGACCTCACAGCAGAATGTCTATAACCCGCCCGATGTCTCCACGTGGAATCCCTTTGATGATGATAACTTCTCCAAGCTCACAGCTGAGGAGCTGCTGAACAAGGACTTTGCAAAGCTAGGTGACGGTAGGTTCATGGAGATGGTTTGATGTCAGCCTACTCTCAAAACGGAAGATGGCATGGAATGATGATGCTTTCGGTCAGATGCTGCTGGGGTGCTCCCATATTATCATGGTCCTCTGTGCTTGTAAGAGATAAATCCTTCCGGTTTTCCTTCTCGGTCCCTGTCCTCTTTGCTGAGCATTGCAATTAAATGAGCACGATCGTCAAAGGTACTAATTGCTTTTAAAGTGGCCTTGGTCAGTTGGTTGTAGAAGCTACAGTTTAAACTCAGCTTCATCTGCAAGTTATGATTTGCAGGAAGGGGCTTAGGTACACACTGAAATAGAGTCCTAAAAATCTAGGTAAGCGACCTTCGGAATGGAAGTTTTTCCCCTAAATCTACGTCTGGCATTTCAGGGAAAGCTCCAGAAAAGATGGGCAGTTCCACGGAGAACTTGATTCCGGGTTTCCAGCCGGCTTCGTCTGCAGCCCAAGCAGATGCGTTTGGTGGCTCTTCCTTCACTGCTGGATCGGGTGAGTTTGTGAATACATCCTAGAGGGCGATGCCCTGGACAGCACTGCAGAAAAATGGCAACTCTTTGTCATAGCCTCTTTAAAAGGAAGATAAAGCTGATATAAATTGAGCTGAGCCTTGATTCTGAGAGCTGTAGGGAAGGGTTGTTCCTTCAGTAAAGAAGGGAAGGCAGGAACGGTACATGTACCTGTCACAGTTGGGTAGTCGAGACAGGAGGCACCGTCTGTAGGCAGAGGTGAGGCTTTTAGTGAGGGAAGAAACTAAGTGAGCCCCTTAAGTTCACAAGAAAGCTTCTTAACGTGTTGAAGTTCCATGCAGCTCATAATTAGAAGTAACATGTAGCGTGCAATAAGGGAATTGGACTGGGAGATGTAGGTCAGACATGCTGGAGGATATTCCTTGCCTGCAGTTGTTAGGCTGTATGAAGGAGAGGAGGGTAACGTCTCTGCTGTAGAATGAGAACATCAGACAGGAGAGAGCAGGGAAAATCCTCAGAGGAGAGCACAGTCAGTCGCATAATTGACATGTTAAATAGTGAAGGCAAGAAGTTTTGCACTGGGTCCAGAGGTCAGGAGACCTGGCTGGTCTGAGGAGCTTTCCTGCAGAGGCCTCTGCACATGTGACCTTGTCTGGTGTCTCCTTTGGTGCTGGGGTACCAAGGTTTTGCCATGTGCTGAAAAAACTTGGTGAGTGCTGCTGCTTGTTTCTAGTTCCTCAGCATCGGTTCTCACTGAGTGCAGCAGAGACCTGCCAAGCACACTGTTGGAAAACTACTGCCAGGGCCCTAAACGCGAGTAATCCTCTCCCCCGTCTTACACAGCCGTTGTTACTGGTGACAAATGCAACTGTTGGATGCTTCCTCACCAAAGCGCACCAACCCTCGGTGAGAGGAGTCCTGGGAAGAGATTGAAGAATGCTTTGTGGGGCAAGAAGTGACAAATCCATTTACGCTTATTTCTATTTATGAAAAGAGATTTAGAGGAGCTTATAACTGAGCTAGGTATTGTTGGCTCTTACCTGGGAATAAAGGAGTTGAAGTCCATGACGCAAGAGCGCTCTAGGGTGTCGCGTTCTGAGTTTGTCCGGCTGTTCAGTGCCCTGTGAACAGTTTATGATGTTCCATCAGCCTTTGTGGAGTAACGTTGAGTAGCAGCAGCAATGTACCTACCAGATTCAGCTGCAATGTACCTTCTGCAAAGCCTGAGAAGCATCTGTGTGTTCTGGGCTTTCTGGACACTGTAGGGTGTTTGATTCTTTTAGCAGTTGCCTCTAAAACGTGCCACTTGACTCTCCTGTCCTGTGATTCGGCATAGGAAGGTGTCTAGGAAATTCGGTGCTGGCACTGGGCTGGGCGCTTCTAGCCCTTCTCTTTTTCTTTCCCCGTAGCTATGAGCCTGCCTCAGCCTGTCTGATGCAAGACGCTGTATCTTTTATTTCAGACGAAGAGGCCCACCGTGGGGGCTGGCCTGCTGTGCGCCCTCTGTTCAGACATTTCACCTTTTGTGCCGCTGTAAAGCGAGATAATAGTACTTCCCTTTCAAGGAATGTTTTGAGATCTGTGGGTTAAATTGTCTTGGAGAGCTACATGGTAATAGTGGTGGGGTTTTTCTCTTCACTACCAACATAAACTTGTTCTGAGTGTTGATGTGTGTGTTCTTGTCAGGCCCTTGCTTGGGCTCTGTAAGATTGAGCTGTGCCTGTGCTGAGATTTCGCTCGATGCTTTCTGCTTTTCTCTCTTCTCTGTTTCACTCTGCCTTTTCTCTCCCTGGTTACCAGCTGAAAAAACGAAAGACATTCTGAGTCTGGACACTAGCCCTCCTCTTCTGACTGTGCCTGATCCTTTCATTCCTCTCCCGTTATCCGACACGCCAGGTAACTGGAGGGGGGCAAATTCCTGTTGTTTGTTTTGTACTCTTCCAGTTCTATTTCTAGGGACACCTGCAATGGTGCTGGGCACTGACAAGCTTTGCTGAACTCAGCGGTAGCAATGATGCGTAGCGCTTTCTGCTGGGGAATGTCTGCGTGGTGGTGGGAGCAGTGCTGAGCACAACAGCCCTTAGTTTTGGTGGCAGCCCCTGGGGTTGTCAGATTGTTTCTATTGCCAACAGTGTTGGTGTCTTTAAAGGCTCAGTGTTCAAAGCCAAAATAATCACTGGGTAATTACCTGGTCTGACCTAAGCCATTTTCAAATTGGTCTCCAACTTCGAAATTGTAGTTTTTAGTGTTGTTCATATTTCTTTCCCCTAAGAGTCGGTGTTTCTTTGGCTTCCAATGTCTATTGCAAATGCGTGCTCCATGTGAAGCACAAGTTAACATGTAACCTTTTCTGATTTGGCAAAATTATCTGGTGCAGTTGGTAGCTATTTCTGTTTACTTGTGGTACTACTTAAAAGCCTTTCCTGTGTGCACATTTCTGACTGCAACAGCCAACACTTTTTAGCACAAGATTATGTAAGTGCTTAGGAGTTTATTTGCAAATCAGTGGGATTTGGAATATGGGAATATTTTTCTCTTGGAGTTTCTCTAAGCCCTCTGGCAAATGTGTGTGACGGGTCCCTTCTTGTCAGCTAGCTCCAGAGGGCAAGTGCTTCTTACAGCTCTCACCCTTGTCCTCAGCTCAAGCTGTAGATCACTGGTGGTTTGACAGTAGAGAACCCAAGCTTCAAAACGTTGTGCTTGTAAAGATGGCATCTCTCCATGGAAAGTTAAGCAATTTAGGGGAAAAAAAAAAAAAATCTATTTTTTTCCATAACTGTGTGGGACTTTCTTCCTTCTGGTTGATGCTCAAAGAGCACAAGAAATGTGTTTTCGTTCAAAAAGGGGTTTTACTCATGAATGCTGCAGTTCGAAAAAAGAAGCAGAACTTGGAGGCTTTCTCCCCTGGGTGAGCGCTTGCCAGGAGCTGACCTGCCCAGCTATAATTCGAAAAGAACCTACAGAAGGCAGATGACTGCATCTTTTTCCCCCTGCAAATTCTATAGGAAGGGTTGAAGTCTGACTTGAAGTCTGTCGACCCAGGCTGCTATTTAATTCTCTGCCAGCATGCTCAACACATACAGTTGCACACCAAGACGGTTGTTTTGCTTATTGCCTACCGCATTTTGATACAGCACAACCAGAAGAAGCAGCAGTCGCAGCCTTAGTTGCGGGAGATCTGGAATTCTTTATAGTACAGAAACCACTGCAGAGAAATTGCCTTTCAACCCTGCCCTTGGGCGCAAATTAGCGGAGCAGCAGTTGTCTGGAGGTTTTGTGGTGCCAGGTTGTTGGTCCCACAAATCTGTCCCTGACCGGTTGCATATCTTTGCAGGCAGGTGCTAAACCTTCTTTCGCTAATCTCTCTGCCTGTGTCTGTCTGGTCCTGTTGAGTTCAGTGGATCCCCCTCCTTGGGGGCAAAGCGGGGGGCAAGGGCACGCAGGAGGTGTGGCTTTGTTGTCTTTGCAGAAACCTGCAGGAGACCATCTCTGATTTAGGGCTTGGGTGTGTTTTATTTTTTTTACATAAAATTTGAGCCCATGGCTGTTTTCAAGGACAACAGCTATAGACTTATCCTTAGCTTTGAAAACAGAGAGGGGTTGTCTGTGCATGTAAATCCAAACAGAAAAGATAAAAACGCTGGATGCGGACTCTGATTTTTCAATCTGTGTGTCTGTCAGGCAGAACAGAGTCATCTTTGGTTTTCTGTGTCTGCATTACCTGTGCAGAAACTTCCCCACAGCAAGTAGAGAGATCTTGGATGGGAGGGATGTGATGACTTGCATGGGAAAGGTGTTCTTCTAGGTGTGCCCCTCGGGTCAGCAGAGCTGGGATTGACTTTAGTCTCTTCATATATCGGCATCTCCAGTTGCAGGTATCCAAGCTGCCTTCGCTTTGTGCAGAAGCAGCTGAATTTCTTTGAATGCTTGCTAAATATTTGCTTTCTGTTTGGCATATTTTTATTTCTGAGAAAAACCTTGCTGGTGAATCTCATTGCTTTGAAAACATTTTATGTCTGTCTTTTTATAGACTGGAAGCACGCGGAGCCCTTTCAGGAGGAAAAGCGCGAGCCTTTACCTCGTGGTTACAAGAGCGGGGTTGTTTAGGGAGGCTTTCAGTAGAGGCATAAGTGAGGCTTTGATTTGGTATTTTGCCTGTTTGTCATACAGAGCCAGTTTTGTCGGCTCTCTGCGCTCTAAACCTGCAGCAGCTGAGGGTCTGGGCTGAGAGCTCAGCTGCTTTTTTTGCCTGAGCCACAAACTTGCTCCTTGTGCTGGCACCTGAGGGTGCAGGTGGCATCACTTGAATGTTGACTGGAGACCTCCTTGAGCTTTCCCACCTTTTCTCTGTATGCTCAGAAGGGCAGATGAACCTTTCCATCACAGATTCCTGAGAAATGAGGAAATGATGCTTAACAGATGACAAATAGCCATAGGGTGCGTCCCCAGACAGCCTAAATATGTTCAAATGGAGGATCCTGCTGCCGTGGAGCTACAGCCAATAGATGTGGCTTTAAGTACGACTGCTGGCTTGTAGGATTAGTGAGATCATAGAATTGTAGAATGGTTTAGGTTGGAAGGGACCTTGAAGATCATCTGGTTCCAGCCCCCCTGCCCTGGGCAGGGCCACCTCCCCCCAGCCCAGGTTGCCCCAAGCCCCGTCCAACCTGGCCTTGAACACCTCCAGGGATGGGGCAGCCACAGCTTCTCGGGGCAACCTGCCCCAGGGGATCACCACCCTTAAAGTGAAAAATTTCTTCCTGATATTTAATCTAAATCTCCCCTCTTCCACTTTAAAGCCATTCCCCCTCGTCCTATCACTCCATGCCCTTGTCAAAAGTCCCTCCCCAGCTCTCCTGGAGCCCCTTTAGGGACTGGAAGGCCGCAATAAGATCTTCCCGGAGCCTTCTCTTCTCCAGGTCGAACAGCCCCAACTCTCTGCTTGTCCTTACAGGAGAGGTGCTCCAGCCCTCAGATCATCTTCATGGCCTCCTCTGTCCCGCTCCAACAGGTCCATGTCCTTCTTACGTTGGGGGCTCCAGAGCTGGATGCAGTACTCCAGGTGGGGTCTCACGAGAGTGGAGTAGAGGGGCAGAATCCCCTCCCTAGCCCTGCTGGCCACACTTCTTCTGATGCAGCCCAGGATATGGTACAGATTTGGTTCTGTGTAGTCATTGAAATGCGTACGGTAAAGACAAACCTTGGGCAGCAAATTCGAGCAGGCTGTCCTGTTTGCTTGGATCATGGTGCTGGAGATGCCTAATATCGTAGAGGAGGTTGTCTTTCGTTTGTTGTGGGTAATGAGCTTCTCAGTAAGTGCTTCTAGAGAAGAGGTAACATAGCGCCCTATAGAAGGCAGAAATACCAGCTCTGGACAATAATCAAGTGGAAGTAGAACGGTTTTCAGTATATTCCTCCTTCTCCGATGTGTAATGGCTGCAATTCTTAATGGAATTGTAACTAGTAAGAAGAGCTGGCAAGAGGGATGTAAAAATATGGCAAAACATCTGTTAAAATAAGGGAGAATTAAATATTCATACTGAAAACATTTTTCCTTGTGCATGTGTAGGAAAGTGAGCCAATTCCTTCTTAATAAGCTTATTGCAGGCTTCACTGCTGATTAATCACAATGGAGTATTTGATCAGAATAGTAATTTTTGTGCTACGTGTGGCTCCTTAATGCCCAGCAGTATGAATTTAGCTCATACGAGCATGGGAGGCTAAATGTTGCACAGGGTATTCTGGAGACCTGAAATTAAACTGAGTTATGAAGCTTCAAGGCAAATCATTCCCTTTGTCATGGAGGCTTTGCTCTGTGAATAGTCCCAAGTCTGGAGTTTTCATGCCCGTTACGTACAGTAGGTTTTGTTTCTTTTGACTTCACTTCTGTTGGCATGAATGGACTTTGGACTCCATCCTCAAAACCTGCTTTGCAGAAGTATTTAATGGGAGGTTTGACCCAGAGCATGTGAATACTTCTGCTTTTGCCCAAGTCCCTTATTAACCACTGAATTAGAAATGCGTAAGTGCTCTCTTGGTGCAGTTACCCGCACTCTTCAGACATCTGTTAATATCAGCAAAAGTTTTAGATGTATCCTCTTTACTCCAGAGACATCTGCTCAGGTCAACAAGTTTGTAAGTGAAGGGTGGACCCAGTGAAATGTCCTCTGAGATACTGCCAAAAATATTCCTTTCCCATTATTTGAGGGCTGGTGGGTTTTTTTGGGGGTGTGGGAGGGGGTTGTCTCCTTGCTCCTGTTCCGGATAAATGTTCTTCTCTCAGGTACCCGGTGCTGTCAGCAGTCCTGGCTTATTCTATCCGCTCTGCAGAAGAGGAGAGAGATGAGCTGGTGGGTGTGGGTCCTTGGCAGCAGAGCGAGCGAGGAGAAGTTGTTGAGCAGCAGCGCTGAGGTGCGAGAGCTGAGAAGGAGAAGCTCTGCTCTTCTCTGTGACTGGAGGGAGGACAAACTCCCCCGTGCCGCGGATTGCACCGCACTGGTTCATGTGCCGGCTGAGCCTGTGTGCGCGGGGCGGTGGTGCTGGTGGCCTCTCCGCATCTGTACTGAGTACAATGCTCTCTTTGCACGATGAGTCAATCTTTTCTACCCCCTTTCAAAAGAGAATGGATCGTTCTTTTTGAATTTACACAACCATTTACTCCCTGCAATAATTCAGCATCTTCGCTGCAGCTGAGAGACAAATGTGTCTTTAGTGGAGTTAGTTATTTGTTTGAAGAACAGCAACACCAAGCGGCCTCTGCGACATTGTCTTGGCCATAACGGAAAGTGAGATAAGAGCGATTCCATGGCCGGCACAGCTAAGTAAACATGCAGATGTAGCTGGGGAAGGAAACACAGGCCAGGAAAGCAAAGCACGCCTGTGCCATCTGGGCACAG